TTGATTGACTTTCTAAGTTTTTTGTTGAACTCAAAAAAGTCTTGAACTCAGAGAACTTGAACATCCGGGGCGGGGCTTAAGGAGGAACTATGTAAGACATGTCCCTATTGGTTGGTGCGGACTAAAGCGTTTTCCTGGTGCACCCGCTTCAAATCAAATGTTGTCAATACATTAAATGGCCGCTATTAGCGGTTATCAGTCTCAAAAAGTACCAAAATAATTTATATGAAACTTTCAGGAAATGTTAACTGCACCACAGAGAACGGCTGATTAAAGTTTGAAACATTTTCAGAGAACGAGCGTGCACGAGCCAGCTGCTCAGAGCTCCAGCAGTTATCAGATGTTGATGATCCGAGTGGCTGGCTCGAGCACGCTATGAAATGTTTATCAGCTGCTCTCTAGCATTTCCTGAATATGTGATAAACATTTCCTGAAAGTTTCACATAAATCTGTTCAGTACTGTTTGAGATAATTAAGCCTGAGAAGGCAACGGGCTAGTTTGGCTGCAGTCGTGCTGCAGAAGCCCTCGCAGGTCTTCTCCAGGTGGTCCTTGGATGKTTATTCTCTTTCCTGGATAACAGAAGATTAGATGGGAGGGTGAAATAGACTAACCTCCATTGCAGGGCTCCATTCTCTGTAAAGTAAGAAAATTAAATAAAAATATATAAATCCTCGGATTTTGATTAACCTTTCAGGGAAAATCTCACTTAGAGCTCGACTGACAGAAATTTGAGCCAAATCGCATGGCTGCTTTAATAGCTGGATTTTGGTTTTCTAAGATATATCTTCCCCTCTCACACAAACGTTTCAGGAAATGTTAATCACACCACAGAGATCAGTTGATTCAAGTTTGAAACATGTCTGAGCAGATGTGGAAAACTCCACTGTATGTCTGTTAGCAACTGCCAGCAATGTCTGGGGTGACCACCATCTACAGCCTGGATCTCCATGCTACAGATTGAGTGCTTCCCTCGGGCAGGACAGTGAGACAGGCCAACYGCTTCAGCTCTGTGTCCTGGAGGAGGAGCCAAACCCACTGCACCTGAATATATATTAACATGCATACCAATGATTGATGAGTACCTTCCAACCTAGGAGGTAGAGGAGGGACAGTCTGCACACAGTGTATGGGACTGATAACTGCTAATAACCAAAAAGAAAAAAAACAAAACAAACAAAACAAAACAAGTAGGTCCTCTGGATGGGTTCTTCTTTAATGAAACATTTTTGTCTCTCCTTCTAGACATTTCTTCAGTCTGATGAGTTTCATTTGATCTCAGTCTTATAAGCACTGCCTCCACATGGTGGACAAACAGGTCTGTTCACATGCAAAAGAGCACCATCAGTTTTTCTTTTTGATTTTTCTACCTGGATCATTGAGATGCATCAGGACAACCGCTAAAACGGTCATGTAATGTATGGACAACATTCGATCCAAAGCGGGTGCACCAGGAAATCACTCAGGCTCTGCCCTAGATGTTAATGTTCTCTGAGTTCAACCAAAAACTTAGAACATCAACAAAAAGTTTGAGATTCAACCAAAGATTTTTGACATGCAAAAAAAAAAAAA